ATCTAAACTTCTTTAGTTTCAATTTATGTGATTGACTTTATATTAGCATGCCCAAATATTTGTTTTTATGTCAAAACTATGCATCAACGTTTAAAACGAAAAGATAAAAAATCATCAAGATCAAAAAGTGTAACACATAATTCCAAAACATATTATTTCAAATCGTTACTTCAAGTCCTCATGCATAAAAATCATCAAGTATGATACAAACATTTATTTTCAAAACATTCATCATGATAAGGTATACAAGCCAAAGAAATCATTAAACATAAAGCATATTCATCAATCATGGTTTCATTGAGCATAAGGCTGATAACAGAGAGATTTTCTCTGATAAAAGAGAGATATTCTCAACTGCATAGCAGATGAGATTTCCTCAACTACATGAGGAAATCTCTCTGCTCAGTTAAAGAAATATCATCTTGCACTATGTATAAATAGACTTCACATGATACTACTTGAAGTGTGCCTTTTGCTTTATCCTTATAATTTCATTCTTCATTCTCTCATTCTATCATGGTATCAGAGCGGCGTTTTCCTCTTTGAGTCTTTCAACCTCACCCATCAGCTTCATGTCAGGCCATGGAAGCTGCTACTGCATCATCATCTTCCCACCTTTCATCGTCGCCAGCGCCCCGTCACTGACCCTCTGCTCCAGATCTACCAGATCTGACCCTCTGCTCCAGATCTTCCAGATCTGCTCTGCTTCCGCGCGCTGGTCCATCGACCAGCTCCTGGCCTTCTCCCTCCAACGCCTCCGCCACCGTTGTCCTCGACTCCGGCAACATTATCCTCACTGCTTCCGAGAGGACCTTCTGGGTGCAGGCCTCCCAACAGCCAGCATCCTGCTCTGCCTTCGCAGAGACAAGCAGCCTTCGGTAACTTTCCATGCTGCTGCCTCGTTGCCAAGATTCCTCACTGCTGATCTATTGCACATAGATCTGCAGTTGTCTTGCACAAAGCTGATCACGCCACTGGCTGCATCACTGCCCAGAGTCCCTCTTGTAGAATTGCTGCATAGAAATCTACAGCTTTACACCATCTTGCATAGGTCTTTTCCTTCAACGAAGACCTTATTCTTTCACAGATCTTATTTGCCACCACCTCAGGTGACATTGATCTATACCAACACTTCTTTCTCCCTGATCATATCTTCCATATGTCATCATCATCTACCTCTGATGCTCCCATTACTGTTCCCGCAGGGAACCATAGTATCTTCCCACATACAAACCTTATCTCCATAAATGCAGCAACCCTCATCCCCTTCAAATTATCCAACGGTGGTAACTACGCATCATGGCGTGCTCAATTCTCTAATATACTATTTGGCTATGATCTTCTAGGCTATGTCGATGGCTCTCTTCGTAGTCCACCGGCGATGCTCAACATCCCAGGCGCATCCGATCCAGTACCAAATCCGGATCACTATGGTTACGCCAGGATCGCCTCATCCTTCAAGCAATTCAAGCCTCGGTCGCTGGATCCCTTGCCCCACTCATTTCTTCATGTGACACTGCTGCCGAAGCTTGGTGCAAGTTGCAAACCACCTTGGCCAATCGTTCTCGCACTCGCATGCTTAGTCTTCTATCCAGCCTCATGAAGATAAAACAAGAGGGAAGTAATATTACTGGTTATATACATAACATAAAGGTTATCATCGATAACTTGGCCTTGGTAGGTCATTCCCTCAGTGATGAAGAAGTTACTGTTCATATCCTCAATGGCCTCGAAGACGAGTACAAGGAATTGACAGCAGCAATACGGGCGCGTGATTCACCAATCACATTCGAAGAACTTTTTGACAAGCTGATTGATTTTGAGATATATCTCAAGCGCGAGGACAAACCTCCAGGACCATCCATCACAGCTCAAGTCACTCAAAAAAGGAGGGGCAATTCGTATAACAAGATTGTCAACAAAGGTTTGACCAAGACACCTTCTGAACCTATGAGCTCCAAACCAACTATTCCTCCTCCTCATCCTCAACATTCCAATCACAACAACCAAGGTGGCTTCTTCAATCATCCGCAGTCCTGGCGCCCTCACTACACAAACCAACAAAGAATTGTTTGCCAACTATGTGATAAAGTCGGTCACTCTGCAAAGGTCTGTCGATCTCGACCCAAACTTCCTGCTCAATCACATTGGCCTCAAGCAAATCTCATGACTACTCCAACGACCAGTGATCATAATTGGATTGTAGACTCTGGCGCATCCCACCACATCACCTCAGATCTCCAGAACTTGTCCATCCACAACAACTATGGTGGCATTGAGGACATCATCATCGGTGACGGTAAAGGAATTCCTATTACTCATACGGGTTCTACACTGCTTAATTCACCTACCACAACCTTTACACTCGATGATGTTTTATGTGCACCTTACATTAAACGAAATCTCATTTCTGTTTCTCAATTTTGCAAACAAAATAATACCTCCATTGAATTCTTTCCTAACTCTTTTCTTGTTAAGGATTTGAGCACGGGGGCATCATTGGTCCAAGGCCAGAGTAAGGACAATA